GGTACCGCGCCGCTAATGCTTCTGCCGCTGCAGCTTCCTGGTGGTGGTGGTGGTGGTGGTGGTGGTGGTGGTGGTGTATGGTGGTGCTCGTTGGTGGTGCTTCCGCCGCCGCCGCTGAAGATGTATGTGACTGCGTTGTTTTTCCTCCCACTCCCGCTCAAGCCGCCTGGCAATGAGGATGACCGAAACAAGGACAGCGCGCTCCCCGCGATGAGCCTCCTAATCCTCCTGAGAAGGAAGGGGCTTCCCGCAAGCGGGGAGGAAAAGACACGGCTCTGTAAAATAAGCTGCTGAGTAATCATGGTGATAATGATGACGGGGAGGTCGGTGGCCGTCGGCGACGTTCCCAAGAAACTGCCGAGGGGCGCGGGGGAGGCGCCTCTTGTCCGTTGACAGCCCGCTGCTGGGAAGCGAATTGACGTGGATTGCTTAACGGGACGTTCCCCGACGCACAAGGTCGTATAACCCCATGGTCCGCTCGACATGGAAGTGGATTGCCTATCGCGGGTTCTGCGTCGCGCGCGAGGTCGTGAACCCCCTGCTTCCCTGGGGGCGCGGCGCGGGGTGCGGGCTCGGGCAGGTACGTGACGAGCACCTGTGGGCCCCAGAGGGGTGCGGCGCCGTCAACGCCCTACCTGGCTCCGCCTCTGGCTCTGCCGGTTTTGCCGTTTGACAAACAAGCCGACTTTCTTCACGACTAGCCGTCTCTCTCTCTTTCTCACAGACGTCTCCGCTTTTGGCCCTCTCTCCCCTCCCCTTCACGGAAGCATCCTCTGGGTCATTTCAAGTACGGTGCGGAGCGAGCGTGCCATCAAGTCCACTTTTTCCTCGTGTGCACGGCGCCGCTGCCCGCGCTGCAGCGGTGTCGTTTGAGTTGCCTACGCAGCCGGGCGCCCTTCCCCCCGCCAGCGCCGCAGGCCGCAGCCGGCACACACACACATACTATTTCACACTCAGACACTCTCACACACACACACTACAGCATCGGGCGCACGGCCGTTCCCGCCGCCAGAGTGCAGCACCGGCGGCAGTTTTGGGACGGGGCCCAGGGGACGCTTGCGCGCTTGCGGTGTCTGGCCGCGTGCCGCGTGTCCTGCCGTGCCGTGCCGTGCCACGCCGTGTCCTGCCGTGGCCTGCCGAGACTAATGGCGCCGTTTGTTGTGTCGCTGTGGTCACACTCTTGCACCTGCATGGGGGATGCATTTTAGTCCACCCTGTAGATCACAAGGAAACGCCCTTCAAAGACAATAAAGCGGTGCAAACCAAAAAAGAACTCTTCTTAAAAACTGTGCCGAGACAAGACTGCCTCCTTAGGTTTGATTACCGAGGAAATGTCACTATATCTCCTACTTTATATTTTAGGGAAAATAGAGAATCGAGAGAACCGACGAAATGTCACGATATCTCCTACTTTATATTTTAGGGAAAATAGAGAACCCTGTCTTAACCTAGCAATGCTTTGCAGTCACAATTTTACAATGTAATCGGGCCGCTTCATTTTGACACAAAACCACGAATTATAGCGCGTGCCGTATAAGCTGGCCATGTGACCGTGTGTGTCTGTGTGCGTGTGTGCCCGCGGCTCCGTTTCCTGAGTGTCCTGCTCGCCGGCGAAACCAATTTGGCCCTCCGTTCGGCGGCGTTCACTTTGAGCTCGCGGTAAAGAGACGGATGGGCGACTCTACTGTTGACAAAAAAGCGAGCCGCCCGCCCCAGAGTGGCGTGGATGTAATTGTGTCATCAGCCCCGTCCTCCTCATTAATTTTTTTTTCCTGCAGAAAGAACAAATGGGATTTGGCTGTGGAATAGGCGTTCCCATTTCATGGCACACTGAACGTTCACGGCAATGACGTGTGTGTGTGTGTGTGTGTGTGTGTGTGTGTGTGTGTGTGTGTGTGTGTGTGTGTGTGTGTGTGTGTGTGTGGCTGTGGTGAAAGAGAATGCCACTGAATGTGGGGGAGGGTCCGTAGTAGAAACAATCTTTAAGAGACTTGGCACGAAACTCGCGGCGCCGATGAAAAAACACACTCACACACACGCAGCCTAGAACAAAAAGAAATAACACCTACACACACACACACACACTCAGACGTCTCGTCCTTCTTGCAAACGTAAACACACGTTCCACTCACTCAACACCGTCACCGCGCCGCGAGGTGGACACGAAGTAGGAGACCCTCTACCGCACGTGGACCCCCCCCCCCCCTCCCCGATGGCCGACCGCGGTCCACCCCGCTCACCTCAATGAATGGCAGACCGTTCTTTTTCGTGGCCGTCTCTCTGTCTTCCTCATGCTCGCGGCGCACCCAAACCGAACTAATGCGAGCAATGAGTCGTTTCAACACCTCGTTCTCTATCGCACTCGAGAGGGTGCGACAGAGACAGAGCGACCGAGCGTGGGCAGGGCAAGGTAAAGCAAGGTAAAGGTGACGGTGCACTCGGGTCCAGGGCGCGTGCTTGAGTTTGGGCCGGTCCCTGAGTAACCGGCGTGCCCCGGAGGGAGTTTGTGTCCTTTGGCGGCGGGACGGCACGCCACGGCTTGGCACGGCACGGCTTGGCACGGCGTGGCGCGGCGACCCCATCTGATCTACATCCCTTAATTGGGTGGACTTGGTATCGCTCACACATGTCCCCCACCCCGGCCGTGACGACGCCACCGCCGCGAAAATAAATAAAACACACTCCGAGTTTTAGAATTTAATTAAAAAAGTGGTGAGCACAGGCGGCTAGGCTGCCGCCTCAGCAAAGAGAGATTCTTCTTCTTTTTTTATCTCGCGTGTTGCCTTTGCCTTTCGCCTTTTGCCGCGACACATTATTATTAGCGGTTTTACGCGCGCGGCGGGCGGAGCGGGCGGAGCGGGCGGAGCGGGCGGAGCGGGCGGAGCGGGCGGAGCGGGCGGAGCGGGCGGAGCGGGCGGAGCGGGCGGAGCGGGCGGAGCGGGCGGAGCGGGCGGAGCGGGCGGAGCGGGCGGAGCGGGCGGAGCGGGCGGAGCGGGCGGAGCGGGCGGAGCGGGCGGAGCGGGCGGAGCGGGCGGAGCGGGCGGAGCGGGCGGAGCGGGCGGAGCGGGCGGAGCGGGCGGAGCGGGCGGAGCGGGCGCGGCAGCGCGGCGGGGAGCCCCTCCATGGCGGACCCTTGCGGCATCTGTTTCACTAGAACACACTCACACAGGCGCGCACACGTGTACACACACGCCGATGCGATCTGTTCCCAGAGCAACTAGCGAAACGGGGCTGTGGAGGGGGGGCTCGGTGGCGCGGTGGGGGTGGGCAGGCATGGGTTCATCAACAGCCCACTGCCGGTTGGTCTCCACGGCCATCCGGTGGAAGTGCAGAGATTAGTCGCAACGGCCCGGCCGGCCCGGCAGGCGCGCGCGCTCTGTGTCTCTCTCTCTGAGAAATAAAGAACTAAACGGGCAAATCCACAACAAAAACATGTCCCGCAAACAAAAACAAATCCAGCTTACTACTTGCAGGCACACGCACAGGGAGAGCTTGTTTCCGTGATGCCTTTTAACCAAATTAATATTTTACACTTAACTGGTTATGTTGGCTTTTTTAAAAAAGAAAAGAGGGTGTGTCCTTTTATTTCCTTCCGCCGAAAGGCCCCACCGACGTGAATCTGCGCAGCAATAAAAGGGAGGCCGTTCTTTTCCAGTGAAGGGCGCAAGCGATCGACGACCGACCGCCGTCCCTCGCGAACCGGGCGAACCTTTCGGACATTCCGTCTTACCCGGATATTGCCTCGCGAGGCGGAGTGCGCCGCCTTGGCTTTCCCTTTCTTCTCCCCCCCCCCCCCCGCCGTGAATGCTTGATGATGCAGTAAGACAATACCTTTGATGCTCGGTACGTCGTCGCGCGGGGCGCATTCAACTTTTAACAAGCATGAAGCCCGATGCAGCTCCTTGTCGAAGCAGGCCGGCGACTCGGCAGACGTTTTTCGTCGCTCTGTCTCTCTCGCACCCACACGGCACGCCCCATGAGTGCGAGAGAGACGGAACGATGAATCGACTCTTCGGTAGCAACTCTTCTGGCTGGAAGAAAGTATGGAGGGAACTCTTGCGCCCACGACCCTTGTACAAGACTTGCGAATTTTCTTTCGCCGCCACTGCGTCAAATCAAGGCAGTGCTGTATGGAGAGGATCCACTGGAAGGCCGGCTCTAGCTACGCCTAGCGAGCGGTCCCACCTCACGCTCACTCACAGTGTAGGCGACGCGACCCCCCTCCCCCTCTTTTCCACCTCCCCTCCTCTTCCCGCCGTCCGCAGTCCCTATCACTTTCAGCGGCCGACCCTGTCAAAGTTTGAGCAGCCGCGGCGTTTAAAACTTCCCGCTGGCCATCCTACCTGTCGATGGGACTTCCCTCGCGGCCGCGGCTACCCGTTGTCTCGCCATTTGGTCTCTGTCGCACTCATGGGGCTCTCTATAAGGGTGCGAGTGAGACAGAGCGACAAACTAATCTTCTGAACCGCTCGGCTATTCGAAGCACCGTCTGGGTGAGGCCATCTTCACGAAGGTGGTCGAAGCCCCCAGCGAGCGTGCTCAGAGCGCCGTGCAGGTAGGCAGGCCCGGTGCAGGTATGCGCGCGGGTTGCCTATCCTCCAGTTCGCAGGCGCCCGGCTGGGTCAGTCCGGCGCACTCTCTCGCTCACTCGCACAGGTGTACACACTTGAGGGTCCAGGCCGGCCCGCGCCCCCTCGGGACGCCTCGTCTCTTTGTCCACCTGCAGACCGCTTGTCTCTCTCGCACTCGCGGGACGTCCCGTAAGGGGCGCGAGAGACAGAGCGATGTTGGGAATGGGCCTGGCGGCACTGCTTACCGCTTCTGCCGTGCCCTCAAACGGATTCCCGCATTTATGTGTGCCGCCCTGCTTAGCCCGCCTCGCCCTCAAACGGATTCCAGATGCAGGGGCGCTGCGCGCGGGTCGCGCGGAGGGCTGCCTGCGCGGCGGGGCCGCGGGGGCCGCGGGGGCGGCGGGGGCCGCGGGGGCGGCGCGTCCGGGCCGGCGCTTGCTCCTGTGCCTGCCACCAGCACTGCTGCTGCTGCTCGCGCTCAGCCCCATCCCCGTCAAGGGCGAGACCAGCCTGGAGGACAACGAGGCGCCCAGTGCGGACGAGGTGCTGCAGAGCCTGCGCGACTTGGTGAGTATCGCACTCCAGCACTGTAAAAAAAAGAAAAGGGTTGAGTCAAAATCGTGGATAACAAACAACACTACTATCACTTCAAAAAAATATCCATTTTATCACAAGTTTTATCAAATCTCGTATGGCCGTGACAAAAATGTCATGAGCTGGCTGTTTGGTATTCTTGAAAGCGAAATTAACCTTGAAAAAGTCCTCGAGTGACAGCCCAAGCTTTCACAGTGTGTGTTGGATCCGGTGTCGCAAAAGTAACCGTCAAAGGGAGATCAATCCGCAGGGAAGAATCTTCCCTTTTCCTTTGATTTTCGGGAAGGAAAGGCGTCCCAGAAAGGGAGTCGGCGGGTTGCGGCGGGGTAGGTAACCGGAGACGCCGCGCCGCGCACGCCGCGGCAGCAGGCTCATTCCGAGAGCCGTTTTCGTCGCTCTGTCCCTCTCGCACGCATACTGGGCGTACCATGAGTGCGAGAGAGGCAGAGGGACGAAAACAAACTGTCGGAGTGAGTCGGCAGGTGGCTGCCCTGGCTGCCTGGGAGCGCGAATAAAGACAAGACGCGGCGCCTCGCGGCCGAGACGGCACGGCATTCGGTTGCTGCCACACCATAAATAAAACTCGACACGTGGATGACACGGTAGTGCGAGCGAGGCGGTGGCGCCACAAAGGAAACCGGATAGTGGACAAACGACTCCGGGGAAAGGTGGCGCGTGAATCTCGCGTCGTGTTGCTGGCCCTGCTGGCGCCACTGCAGGCCGCAGCCTGCGCTCTGTCTCTCTCACACCCGTCCGGGACGCCCCACGAGTGCGAGAGAGACAGAGCGACGGCGGCGCCGCTCGGAAGCGACCCGCTAGTTGTGCTAATATTATTCCGCTCGGGTGCGGCGAGGCGAGGCGAGACGAGACAATGCACCCCGGAGTTACTCGGCCCCGGAGTCACGTCGCGGAACCCTTCTGGCGCCCTGCAGCTACTCTCCCGATCCGCACCTGAACTTGGCGTCGTTTTGCAGGGCAAGGATGGTGCCGACGCAGGCCAGCGTGAGCGGCCGCTGCCCCTGGTCAGCGCGCACCCCAGCCGCGCCAGGGTCTACGTCACGCGGTCCGTGGCCACCGAGCAGTTCCCAGGTGAGGGCACTTCGCTATGCTTCCTGTCACTCTCTCTCTCTCTCTCTCTCTCTCTCTCTCTCTCTCTCTCTCTCCCTCGCACCCATACGGGACGCCCCGTGAGTGCGAGAGAGACAGAGCGACGACGACAGCTGCGACAGCACAGCGCCGTGCGGAATCGGGTTGTCTCTGCAGCATCGCGGCGTGAGTTTGATTCCGAACAGTTCTTCGTCGCTCTGTCTCTCTCGCGCCGTCACGGGGTGCCTGGTGAGTGCGAGGGAGAGCGACTGCTACTATTCGGAAGTTGCTGTCTGCGACTGCAGATGCAGGCGGCTTAGTCGCGTCATTGATTCCGCCATGCCGTCGCTACACCGCTATCGCCGAGTCAGTGAAAGCTTATCTCGCCGCACGTGAGCGCGCGGCGCGTGGCCGCGAGGGGTCTCGGTCTCACAGTGGGCCCGAAGACCGGCGGAAAATCTTTGCTGCAGAAAGTAAAAAGCTGTTTGTGCTTGCGGAGATTTGAACACACGACCTCGATGTTTCTAACGCACCTTCCCACCGACATATTTGGCAGAGGTGGACGCCCGCGGCTTCCACGAGTCCGTGTTCGACATCCTGCCCGACTACTACGCCATGTGGAAGCGCACCGGCCGCGAGTACTCGCCGCACCACCGCAAGAGGGAGGCCCAGCACTCGCAGCAGGGGCTGACGGCCAGGGGCTTCCACGACGACGTGTTCGGCCAGGACTTCGGGGACTTCAGCACCGTCAAGCGCGGCCGGGACAGGTGAGGAGCGAACGGCAGACTAATGCCGAGAGTCGTTTTTCGTCGCTCTGTCTCTCTGGCATCTATACGGAACGCCCCGTGAGTGCGAGAGGGACAGACCGACGAAAATGACTTTCGGAATCAGCCCGCAGGGCATTGAGTTGAACTGTTGTTGATCGCAACGAAATGGCAAATCTTTGTTTTGAACTTGTTCACAATGAATGACTGTTGCAGGCGTGACGTGAGCGCCGCCTCGCGCCAGAAGCGCAGCACCGCGGCGGCCGAGAAGGACGTCAAGGACAAGAAGGAAGACAAGAACGCCGCCAGCAGTGACGCCGAGGAGCGGCGGACCCCGGACAAGCGACCCACCGGCGCGGCTGGCCTGCACGGAGACACCTTCTCGGGGGGCTTCGGGGACTTCGGCACCATGAAGCGCGTCCCCGAGGCCCTCAACGGCGATGCCTTCGACAGCAGCCTGGCCGACTTCGAGACCATGAAGCGCGCGCCGGGCAAGATGGGCTTCCACGGCGACACCTTCAGCGGCGACTTCGGCAGCTTCAACACCATGAAGAGGAGGCTGCTGTCCACGCGCGGCTACCCCTGGGACACCAACCAGGACTTCAGCTCGATGAAGCGCCGCACGGAGGGCTTCCACGGTGACCTCTTCGACAACAGCTTCGGCAACTTCAACACCATGAAGAAGAGGCCGACGGGCGGCTCGGGCCTGCACTCGGACACCTTCTCCAACGGCTTCGGGGACTTCACCACCATGAAGCGCACTCCGGCCGGTGCCGGGCTGGAGGGGGACACGTTCAGTGGCGGCTTTGGGGACTTCAACACCATGAAGAGGGCTTCTGGCGGTGCCATGGGCTTCCATGGAGACACATTCTCCAACGGGTTCGGTAACTTCAACACCATGAAGCGAGCACCCAGCGGCTCGCTTGGACTCCACGGAGACACTTTCAGTAATGGCTTTGGGGACTTCAACACGATGAAGAGGGCTTCTGGTGCCATGGGCTTCCATGGTGATACCTTTTCCAACGGGTTCGGTAACTTCAACACCATGAAGCGAGCACCCAGCGGCTCGCTTGGACTGCACGGAGATACTTTCAGCAGTGGCTTTGGGGACTTCAACACCATGAAGAGGGCCCCTGGTGGAGCGTTGGGCCTCCACGGAGACACATTCAGCGGCGGTTTTGGAGACTTCAACACCATGAAGCGAGCGCCCAGTGGATCGCTTGGACTGCACGGAGACACATTCAGCAGCGGCTTTGGGGACTTCAACACCATGAAGAGGGCTCCCGGAGGAGCCTTGGGTTTCCACGGTGACACGTTCACGGACGGCTTCGGCAACTTCGGCACTATGAAGCGCGCTGCTGGCGCCGCTGGCCTGCACGGCGACACCTTCTCGGGGGGCTTCGGGGACTTCAACACCATGAAGCGCGCGCCCAGCGGATCCCTGGGCCTCCACGGCGACACTTTCAGCGGCGGCTTTGGCGACTTCAACACCATGAAGAGGGCTCCTGGTGGAGCGTTGGGCCTCCACGGCGACACGTTCAGCGGTGGCTTCGGTGACTTCAACACCATGAAGCGGGCAGGTGCCATGGGCTTCCACGGCGACACGTTCACCAACGGCTTCGGCGACTTCAACACCATGAAGCGCAAGCGCAGCCCCTCGCCGGGCGACTTCCACCGCAGCGGCTTGGCCGACGACGAGGGAGACTTCAACACCCTGAAGCGCGGCGCCGGCGGGGCGGCCGGCCTCCACGGCGACACGTTCTCGGGGGGCTTCGGGGACTTCGGCACGATGAAGCGCAGCGCGGGCCGCCACGGGCCCAGCTCGCACGGCCCGCACAGCGACATCTTCAGCTCGGGCTTCGGGGACTTCAACACCATGAAGCGCGGCGGCAACGCGACCGCCGTGGCGCAGCGCAGCGCGCACCAGCCCGTCCGCACTGTCAAGGTGAAGCGCTCCAACATCGCCGAGATCCTGGTGCCGGGCTACCACGTCCAGGGCGAGAAGCCGCCGTCGCAGCAGGACGAGAACAAGAACAAGAAGCGCCGCAACGCGTCCACCGACATCAGCGGCGACACCCTCAACAGCCCGTTCGGCGACTTCCACACCATGCGCCGGCGGCAAGCCTAGGCCCCGGCCGGCCAGGCCAGGCCGCGCACGCCGCCCCGCGCCGCCCCGCGCCGCCCCGCGCCGCCCCGCCTCCTCGGGAACGCGCTAGCCGAGCGATTAAGATGAGTCGTTTCGTCGGCTTGTCTCTGTCGCACTCATGGGGATCTCCGTATCGGTGCGAGAGAGACAGCGCTGGCAGGCTGCCGTGGTGCCTTCGGCTGGAACGACTGGCGACTTCAGCCTGTCTGGAGGCCGTTCCTGAAACGGCGTTTCGAAGCCCAGGCCACGACACAGGCTCATTCCTTTTGCAATGTACTACCAAAGTCGCCCTCCAAAAAATTGTTTAAAAATTTGAAAATTTTTAAATTGAGCGCTTTCGGTGCGGTTCCGAGCGGGCTTCCCCGGCGTGGCTGGCGGTGGGGTGGCGTGGGGGCGGCGGGAGGCGGCGGGGGGCGGCGGGGGGCGGCGCGAGGAAGCCCCTGCCTCCCGGTCCCGAAGCGGTAGATTTAGTCCTTAGCAAGCCTGGAATGTTGGCCCAGGTCGGTGTGCCGAGTGCGAGCCGAGCGACACGACAGAGGGCTCCCACTCGCCACACTGTCAGCATGTACGTACACTACTACATTAACCACGAGTTACCTAATCAACTAAGTAATCAACTATGTTTTGTTAATGTTGGCTGGCTAACGTTAACTCGTTTACTTTCTAGGAATGTCTCTCGGCTTTGCTGCTAATGTTTTTCTGAATATGTAGCACTTTCTTCCATTTACTATTTTGTTCCCTCTAAGTTTTAAAAATATACTTTTGTCGAGTCTACTTGTTTGAGGTGGATATAATATACATTCCAAAGTTAATATAGTATATTTTTCTGTGTTTTAGTGTAAGACCTGGATTCTGCTGAACGTACTACAGTATTGTAGTTTGCTGTGAGCCCGCAAATTGAAAGACTGTTGCTAATGGAAATAGTGTTCATAATGGTGGTAAAGAGTAAAATAGTCGGTTTATTTTTAATTTACATTAAGGAATGAAAGCGCTGGCAGCTTTTTTTTTGTTTGTTTCCCTTGCTTCTCGCGAGCAGATGCTTTATACTATCGGTGTTTGCCTAGTACCCTTCAGGCAGTCTGTACAGGCTGGTATTGGAAGCTTCGTCGATTTTTCTGCATCTAAATTACTGTAGGTTCCAATAATTTGGAGTTGAATTATCCGTCGAAAATCGCGAAGCCACTGCACTGCTCGCTTCTACATTCCCAGCAATGCGATTATTCAGGTAGTCAGCTACACCTATCTAGCGAAGCATCACTAAATTATCATTATATTAATACGAGTTATTTTTCATAAGAATGAAATGTGCAGTTGCCTATCAGATAAAAATAATAATTGTAAATACATAATTTATTTGGTTCAGTAAAATGAATACGGTGCAAAAACGCCACCCGAACGTTGCCTCTTTTCTCGAACCCACCGTCACAGTGGACCAAGACCGGGGGAGGCGGCTAAAACTCTGGACACGTTTTCGTTTTGAGCTCCGCAACGTGTGACCCCACCAATGGCTTCCTCGTTCGGAGAGCAATCCATTGGTCGGGTCACACGTTCGGTCGGAATTCCATTTAGCTACTCTGGATCTCAAAACCCGGCCAGGATTTTGACCGCCTCCACCGGTCTTCTGGCCCACTGTGCGTCCGTCCCCGGCACTGCATAACGCTGTACCACACTGTACTCCAGGGCGAGGGAGCAAGGAGCGACCCGAGCGAGCAGTACAGGGTGTTCGGCACCGTGCGGCCCGTCACACCCTGCATCCAGATCGCGCACACATTCGGCCGGACAGCCAGGAGTCCGTCACTGGGACGTCAGCCGGGTGACGGGAGGGGGAAGGGGAGGGGAAGGGAAGGGACCCTGACGGGGGACCTGGCCGTCAGAGAGTGCCCATTTCCTGCCAGTGGCAGAGCCAGGGCCCGGCGGGGCGTGGTGGCCCGGCGGGGCGGGGCGGGGCGGGCAGCAGGTCGCAGGGCGGGGGGCACGGCCAGCATTGCGCGACTTTAACCGTGGTTTCCTGCAGTGCAGGGCGGAGGGGGAAGGGGCAGGGGTGCCGGCGGGGGGCCGAGGAGGTGGATTGCTTGATTGGGGCCCCGCGTCCCGCCTGGCCCCGCCTCGCCCCGCCGCACCTTGCAGCAGGCCCAGCAGGCCCAGCAGGCCGCGGAGGGCCCCGCTGGACGTGCGCGATGTCGCCTCCCCGTCCCCGACCGCCCCGACTCCCTGACGGGGACGCGACAGCTCTGTGACAGCGATCCGACACCTCCCACCACCGGCGGCTTCGTGAGGGAGACGTCGTCCACCAGGAACAGCCGCTCCAGGGGCCACCGCTGCTGCAGCGGCGGCGGCCGCGGCCCTGGAGGCCGTGCAGCACGCCGCCGCAGCGGCAGGGGCGGCAGCAGGGGCCACGGGAGGTGCGGCGGGCAGGCAGAAGTGCGCTGCGTCGCCGCCGAGCTGGTCGTCGTCCTGGTGCGGTGCCCGTGCGGTGCAGCCGTGCTCGCCGTGCACGCCGTGGTGGTGCACGCCTGCAGGCCGTGGCGCAGTGTCGGGCCAATGGCCTAGGACCGCCCCGGCCACCCTGTCCCAGCGACATGAGCACCCTGGGACCCACCCTGGGCCCGGGCACGTCCGACAACCCCCATGGCGGTGAGCAGGACGCCGCGGCCGCGGCCAGCGCCCAGGACCAAGTGTGAGTAGCCGCCCCGCCAGCCCCGCCTCTCCAAAGTACTGGAGCACTGGCGGGATCGGGGCAAAGCGCCGACGACAGATCACGTCGCCGTTCGCGGCCGAAATCCGTCCAAAGCCCGCCGCGTTGCATCACTGGGATTACGGGAGCACGCTGGAGCGAGCGCCTCCTCGCTCTGTCTCTCTCGCACTCATGGAGTGCGCCGTAGCAGCGCGAGAGAGACAGAGCGAGGCCGCGGCTAAGCTGCAGACTGATTCCGAGAGTCAGTTCCGTCGCTGTCTCTGTCGCGCTCAGGAGTCGTCGCGTATAGGTGCAAAAGAGACAGAGCGCCGAAAGCGACTCTCGGGATCAGTGTGCTGGCCGTGCCCGAGCGGGGCCCGGGGGCACACCATTAAAAGCAAATTAAATGGTTGAATCAGTGCCCGCTCTGCATTGGCGGTCTATGGCTCGGTCCATGGCGATCACGGCCTCGTGGGGCTGGATCTGGATTAGCGTGCTCGTCATCGCTCATGGCATGTACAATGAGGCCGTGCTGCCCACAGGGCGGGCGCGGTCGCGGACGAGAACGAGAAGAAGAAGAAAGGAGCGACAAAAGAAGACGTCATGAAGTACCTGATGCTGGTATGTACGCATCGCGGCACCGCCACCCTCACTGAAAAACCAAACGTGGTCTAGACAGCACCACTGGTGTGATCAAATGGGTGCCATTTTGACCGCACCAGCTGGTGTGGTCTAGACCACGTTTGGCCACGTTTGGTGTGGTCTAGACCAGCGGTTCTCAACCTTGGGGTCGCGAAAAAATTTCGAGGGGTCGCGGCGAGGTAACTTTGCGGCAATACTGCTCCCAAACTAAGGCAGATAATCGCACTCCGTAACAAAGGCATGCTAAAGAAAGGCCCAAAGACCAATTGCCCGTTGAGGGAGGACCAAATACCGCCTCGGATTAGACGCAGTGGCTGCTTAAAGTCGGCCCAAAACACGATTTTTCGAAGACATTTGTGACCGTTTTGACCAACTTGGAGACAATACTGCTTCCGAACTAAGCCAGGTTATCGCACTTTGTATCAAAGGCATGCTAAAGGAGAGGTCGCGTGGAGTCGCGAAATTTTTCCTGGGGGTCGCGGAAATTTTTGGCTACAAATTTGGGGTCGCGAACCGAAGAAGGTTGGGAACCGCTGGTCTAGACCACGTTTGGTTTTTCAGTGTCTCATCTTCCCCCGCCCCGGTGTTGCCGCACCGCGGCGCCGTCCTTGTCCTCGCAGGTGCTGCAATGGTTCCGCGCCAACCTGCTGCTGGGCCTCACCATCACGGCCGTGCTCGTGGGCGTCGTGCTGGGCTTCTTCGGCCGCCTGGCGCGGCCCTCGCCCGAGGCCATCGAGCTCGTCTCCTTCCCCGGGGAGGTGCTCATGCGCCTGCTCAAGATGATGATCCTGCCGCTTATCATATCCTCGCTCATCGCCGGTAAGGATTTGTGTGTGTGTAGAGAGAGAGAGAGAGAGAGAGAGAGAGAGAGAGAGAGAGAGAGAGAGAGAGAGAGAGAGAGAGAGAGAGAGAGAGAGTGATAGGAGAAAGGAGGAAGGGAGGGAGGGAATGAAGAAGAGAGAGATGGGAGGACCGCGTGGTCTGAAACCGCCGTACAGGGTAGGCAGCCACCATGCCGCCATGCACCTGTGTCGGCGTGTTGCCTACGCTGCCGGCTGGAGACCGCCGTGCAGGGTAGGCAGCCACCATGCCGCCATGCACCTGTGTCGGCGTGTTGCCTACCCTGCACGGCGCTCCGCCGCTTGGCTCTGCCGCCGCCGCCACTCCGAAAGATTCGCTGTGCTGCTGGAGAATCGCGGAACCGCGAATAACCCCCAGGTTCCCCTCCCCCCACTCCTTCCCCCACCCCCTCCGCCTCCCCTTCCCCCAGCGCATGCTCGCGCAATAATAATGCATGGACTGGCGTCGACTGGCGTCCGTTTAACGCGGTCATGCCCGGCGCGGCGCAGCGCGGCGCAGCACGGCGACATGAATTAGTTTGCCGGCAAATTGAAGTTACATCCGGGGATGAGGACGTGACCGCCATACAGCCTGGCCGTGGCTTGGCAGTGGCGCAGCGCGCCGCCAGCCAGCCAGCCAGCCAGCGCCGCATTTCGGCAGGGAGGAGGCGACGCACCAGTGTACCAGCCGGCGAGGCGATCCAGAAGGGTAGCCTCGCCACCGTCTCTGTCGCACTCGTAGGTTGTTTCCAGAAGGGTGCGAGGGAGACACACCGCTCGGCCGGCGTGCCGCACGTCGCACCATATTGCTTCAGTTTAAACCCTCGAATTTGGTTCTGAATCTTTGCTTTGAGGCCGTTGTAGTTTCTGTATACGGATCCGTGCGAGGTGAGGGGCTGGGCACTGTTTGCGGTCATCCCCGCCAGTGTGTCCGCGCTGGAACGGAACCAGCCTCTCGTCGGCCTGTTTGACAAAGACGGGCCCTCCCCCGCTCCTGTGCACTCTGGCAGGCCGGAGACCGGTAGGACTGATTCCGAGAGACGCTTCCGTCGCTCTGTCTCTCTCGCACGTATGAGGGACGCGCCATAAGTGCGAGAGAGACAGAGCGACGGGAACGACTCTCGGAATGAGTCTGCGGAGCGCAAACCGAGGCCAGGGGAGCGTTAAGACTAACGCCCTGCCTGCTCCGCTCCGAGGTGAACGAACAGTGTACACGTCCGCAGGCATGGCGCAGCTGGACGCGCGCAGCTCGGGCCGCATGGGCATGCGCGCGCTGGCCTACTACATGGTCACCACCGTCCTGGCCGCCATCGTGGGCATCATCGTGGTGCTGGTCATCCACCCGGGGGACCCGTCCGCCAAGGCCATCGTGCGCTCCCACTCGCAGGCCGAGACCCGGGTGTCCACCCTGGACGCCATCCTCGACATTATACGGTACCGCCACTTTAAAAAAATCTTTTTGTTTTTGAAAGAAGATAGATGACACCGGTTTGTGCGGAGCTGCTACGACCTTGGCGGGGCTCCAGGAGCGGGGCTCTACTCCCCAGCTCTGTACTAATCTCGGCGCCTGCTGCTTCTTTGCAGCAACATGTTCCCGGAGAACCTGGTCCAGGCCTGCTTCCAGCAAGTGCAGACATCGGTTAAAGAGGTGAGGGGCCATGGCGGTGCCAGGCAGGCCGGGCAGGCCGCACCGAGCGGGCGGCCCAAACTTCGGCCGTGACGTCACGCGGCATCAGCACCGCGGAGTGGCGAGTTCCCCAGAGGGAAATTGTACTTCCTGCTTGCGAACACCATGCACGCTCTGGCCGCCCTGGCCGCCCTGCACTGCCGTCCGCGTGATGTACTGTTCCCCGCGCCCCGCGCCTTGTTTGCCGGCCCGCCAGACCGATTCCGAGAGTCGTTTTCGTCGCTCTGTCTCTGCCGCACTCACGGGGCGTCCCGTCTAGGTGCGAGAGAGACAGAGCGACGAAAGCGACTCTCGGAACCAGTCCGACGGCGTGCCCGAAATCCACGATCCGCGAGGGGAAAGCTAATCCTGAAAGCCTCGTTGTTTGCCCGAGGGTTTTCTCGTCGCCGAGGTTGTGACGCCGCCGCCTGTGTCCGCAGGTACCCGGCACCTACAAGAAGCCCGCCTACGTGGAGAGGACGCTCGTGTACAAGGACGGCACCAACGTGATGGGTGAGCAGCCAAGTCGTTTTCGTCGCTCTGTCTCTGGCGCACTCGCGGGGCGTCCCGCACAGGTGCGAGAGAGCGACGAAAACGACTCTCGGAATCAGCAGGGCGTGCTTCGCGGTGCTTCGCCTCCGCCAGGGGCGGGCCGCGGCGCGGCTTATCGGCGTGCCAGAGCCACGCCGCCTCGCCCTGTCTCTCTCGCACCCCTACGGGCCGCCCCATGAGTGCGAGAGGGACAGGGCGACCAGCGGGCCGAGGAGGGCGCGTACACAAGGCGCCGTCCGCGGCCGTCCCAAACTAATTACAACACACACCGGCACCGCCGAGGGCACCGCCGTCTCCTCCGCCGCGTCGCCGCAGACTGGTTCCGAGAGTCCTTTTCATCGCGCTGTCTCTCTCGCACCTACACGGGACGCCCCAAGAGTGCGAGCGAGACAGCGCGACGAAAGCGACGCTCGGAAGCAGTCTGCAGGTGGCCGTCGTGCCGGGGCCCGCGGGGGCAACGGACCGAGGCTGAAGCCAGACGCTGACGGCGCTCACGGGGGTCATGGTGCCAACAGGGATGATCGTGTTTTGCCTGGCCTTCGGCCTGCTGGCCGGACAGATGGGCCGGCGCGGCCGCATCATGGTGGACTTCTTCGTGGTCCTCAACGACATCACCATGAAGCTCGTGGGCATCATGATGTGGTACGTGGGGAGTTCGGCGTCCGTCTCCCTGTCCCGAACTCAGAACGAATCAAAGACACGGCCGTTTGCAGGTACTCGCCGTTCGGCATCATGTGCCTGATCGCCGGCAAGATCATGTCCATCGCCAACATGGCGTCCACGGCGCAACAGCTGGGCCTGTACATGGTGACGGTGGTGCTGGGCCTGCTGGTGCACGGGCTGGTCACGCTGCCCGTCATCTACTGGGCCGTCACGCGCCAGAACCCCGCCACCTTCTTCAAGGGCATGCTGCAGGCCTGGGTCACCGCCGTGGGCACCGCGTCCAGGTTCGCCCAGCTCCAATTTTCTTTTTCGCTTTTCCCGATCCTCCTCATCTCAATTTTTCTTTTCTACCTAATTTCCGCCACAATCTCCGCTCTGCTTTTTTTTCAGCGCGGCCACGCTGCCCGTCACGTTCCAGTGCCTGGAGGAGAACAACAAGATCGACAAGCGCGTGACGCGCTTCGTGGTGGCGGTGGGCGCTACCGTCAACATGGACGGCACGGCGCTGTACGAGGCCGTGGCCGCCATCTTCATCGCCCAGATGAACGGCATCCAGCTGGGCATCGGCGACATCATCACGGTCAGGTGAGGCCGCATCTCGTAGCCGAGGGCGCAGCGACCCCGACTCCCAAGGACAAGGTCGCGGGTTCGAGTACCGCCGGGGCTGTTGTTGATTTTTCGGTCGCTAATGGCATGCGCCCTCACGACGCGTCGGGTGACTATGATAGAAATGCCAAAGTCAGGGTGGATGGCGAGGCTGTCAGTTTAATTGGTCTCACCTGAAGCGTCTGTCGCCTGCCTCCCCGCCTGCCTGCCTGCCTGTATGCCTGCCTGCCTGCCTGTCTGCCTGCCTGTCTGCCTGTCCGCTGCCTGGGGTAGGTCGGCGCACACCCGCGCATGTTGACACAGGCTGCTGGGCCCTGGCAAAATCTCATCAGCGAGATTCTAGTTGGAGTGCACCCCCGCGGTGGTGACGCACCAGCCTGGTACCGGCCTGGCGGCACCGCCACCGGGGCAGCAGCAACTACAGTGGCGTAGCAAAGTAACTCATCCTGCAGTCACTCCGGCCGGGGCATCAAGTATGCAGCGCCGGCCCCGGCCGCCCCGCTCTCCCGGTGGGGGGCGTGCATAAATATTACGCGGCGCGTGTGTGAGTGTGTGTAGGTATGTGTGTGTGCGTGCGGGCATGTCGGTGTGTGCGTGCGATTAGGGCAGGGGCTGCAAACTGACGCCGCTCTACATCCCTCTGCTCCACAGCGTCGGCGTGTACACGCGTGTGCAGCCACTGTACTGCCGAGCGCGGCGTGACGCGGCGTGACGCGGCGCGCCGAGACCTCATTGCGCTGCGATGAATTCGCGCGCAAAACTGTCGCGTAAAGCTGTCGAGTGCTTTGGAGCCGGTCGGGTCGTATCACGCTACGAATGCCAGCCGGGTGGTGGCAACCCTACCCCTATTACGGCAGTCTATGCCGCCGCAGTGTTCTCGCGCGCCGGGTGGCAACCCTATTACTGCCCGTTCATGCCGCCACGTGTTCTCTGACGGGCTGGTGTTGCGCGTGTTGCAGCTTGACGGCCACCTTGGCGAGCATTGGCGCAGCCTCCATCCCGTCCGCCGCCCTCATCACCATGCTGCTCGTGCTGACCGCCCTGGGGCTGCCCACCTCGGACGTGTCCCTGCTCTTCGCCGTCGACTGGCTGCTGTGAGTCTTACTACATGTAGCGTGATAAACGAACGCACAGTGGGCTAGAGAAGACCGGTGGAGGCAGCCAATACTCTAGACGCGTTTTGAGCTCCAGAGTCGCTAAACAGGACTCGAACCGGACGTGTGACCTCACCAATGGATTCCTCATTCGGAACGCAATCCATTGGTGGGGTCACACGCTCGATTCGAGTCCAAAACGCGTGTAGAGTTTTGACCGCCTCCACCGGCCTTCTGACCCACTGTGGATCGCCCTCCAACCGCGCGCCCTGCTTTGCAACGCTCCGCAGGGACCGCATCCGCACGTCCATCAACGTGCTGGGCGACGGCTTCGGCGCGGGCATCGTGTACCACCTGTCCAAGGACGAGCTGGACCAGATGGACCACGAGCGCGAGGCGGACGACGCGGAGCTCGGCGTGGTGGGGCTGCTGGAGGCGCGCAAGCTGTCCGTGCTGGACGAGGAGACGCGCAAGCGGTCCGTGGACCTCGCCGCCACCTCGGAGACGCAGATGTGAGCGTGGACGTCGACGTGGACGTCGACGTGGACGTCGTGAAGCGGCGGGTGGTCGGTCGGCACGTCGGCGCCGGCAAGGACGCGGACACGGCGCAGAGGGCGCGCAACCGCGGAACCGTGAGACCCCGAAACCGTGGAACCGCAAACCGCGGAGCCTTCCCCGCGAAAGGCTGCCTAGGGCCGAAGCCCCACGAGTGCCGCGTCAACTTGGCGTCGCCATGGCGTCGCGTCGCGCCGGCGCGGCCCTTTGAGGTAGGCGCCCTTTGAGGGGCCCTTTGAGGGCGAGCCCCCAGGGGCCCCCGACGCGACGCGGCGGCGGCGGAAAGCCTCGGAGAATTATTTGTTGTTGAAAAAACTAAAAATGAATTTCATTCGATTGCGCGCTAATTCTGTACCGCGAAAAAGCATGACATGTTGGCCTGTGCAGGTCCCCGCCCTGCGTCGCCTCGCTTCGACGAAGTAAGAGGCGACGGCCCGGGGCGGGGCTCGCGAGCGGCTAAAGATGTGGATTTTTCTTTCTTGTTTTGTAATCGTTAGGAGATCGTCTCGGCGTACCGCCTCCGGTAGCGCGAGTATCGGCTCCGTTTATCTAACCTTTATTTTACCCATATAACTACCAACTTGTAACATACGTATAAAATGCTTCATTGAGACGATTAGAAATACTTGATTCCCGCCCAGCATAAAGGCACTTTGAATGTATGTATCGTGTGAATGAATGTGTTGAATGAGCTTGGAGGACATGCAAGTCACCCAACTAAAATCAAGTTTGGCCGACGGCGCAAAATGCACACAAGATTGGACCCCTGATGAGAGTGTACACGTGCTACATGAAAATCAAGAGGGCTGCTCAACGGACTCACCGAAAAGGGTCTGAAAGGACTTGGTGGCAGACGATCAATATATTTATTTATAGTGTTGTTTTTATGTATTACTCGTTCATGACAATATTTACTGTGTACCTTATCTAACATGTACTGAGCAACGTATGAGTACAAAATGAGAATCATTAGATTTTTACAGAATGATATGTATACTCAGAATACTTGAGTATGGTACAAGCCTCATATTTGAGATTGTGAACCAAATCATTGAGGCCCTATTTTTAAGCTTATTCCTAGCACTAAGGAATTTATGTTATATTGACTACTATTGCTGTACTCTTGCTATATTCAACTAGTATTTAAGGACAATGCCCAGCTATATTATCCAAGTAATCATTAAGTTATCTAAAGTTATGTTTCACCATATACCCGTATTTATACACTGGTGTATGATTCCAGTGTTAGCATGTAAGTTAGTGAGCTAATTCTAAGTTGTCTTTCCAGAACGCAATTTTCTTAATGGTAAGGTATGTGTCTAAGTCCTCGCATTATTTTTGTAAAAACACGATAAGTTAAGCAAGATACTCCCCTCTAAGATAGAGAACATATTCATATTAATCGTATAGCAAAATAATCCTAGTCGCACACACCGTGGAGAACCACTGCCACCGCAGAGTGCATTCCAATACTCGCCAACATCCACACTGTTGAAATAAAAAGTAATTTATTAATAGACACGGCCTTATTTTCTTATTTTTCCCCCCTTTGGCCCCCGACTCCTCATCGTCGGCATGCCCCGCCGATACCGAAAGCGAAATCGGGATGACCGAGTCGGTTATCGACTTATCGACACGCAAACAATGTGGTCGTCATTTCATTGGCTTGTTGCGCCAGGAAGGCGCGTTGGCGGGGGGTCGCGCCGCAACCAGCCGCAACCGTGGTCGCCATGGCAACGCGGTCCAGATTCAATCCAAACAGCCGCCAGAGCCGGATCCAGAGGCGACCTGGGGGGGGGGGGGGGGGCTTGTTGCCTACCTTTCAGACGGTTGGTCAAGGGGGAGGGGGATTAACAGCTGTTCTCTCTCTCTCTTTCACTCACACACACACACACACACACACACACAAGTTTGGCCCAGGTGCAAAAATTTACGGGCGGTCCCTCGCCCCTCTCGCTACCGCCGTGAAGCGGCAAAGGCGGTGCGCACGCCGCGAGGGAAGTCCACCGCGGAAACGTCCGGCGCTTTGCGGACGGTCCCTCGCGCGCCTCGCGCTGCCGCCGCTGTCATGAGGATGAGGCGTCGGAAAAAAGGCCCTGCACTGATAAAGGCGGCGCGCTTCTATATTGGTCGCGTGGCAGTGGCACCTCGGCGGCACCGCGGCGGCACCGCGGCGGCACCGCGGCGGCCCGCCCCACTTCCCACCCATCGCGCCCCGTCTGCAGGCCCCTCCGTCCCTCTCGCTCGCACTCGTGGGGTGTGCCGCATCGGTGCGGACGGACAGCGTCCGCTCGGAATCGGCCCGCCGCCGCCGTGTGATTCAGAAGAGCCGTTGGTCGCTCCGTCTCTCTCGCACCCTTGAGAAGGGACCTATGAGTGCGACAGGGACAGAGCGACGACACGACACTCGTCTGAATCGCGCCGCAGGGGAGGGGAGGGCCGGCAGGGGTGCAGGTGCAGCGGCGGCGAGATGGAGGTATTTCGGTGGCGGCCGGGACGGCTCGAGCTACGCGCCGTGCCCGCGGGGCGCGGCCTGCACTGCGGGCCCTGCACTGCAGAGGTGCATCGGGTGGGCCGAACGGTGTCTCTGTCGGTGTCCCGTCCCCGCGAGAGAGGCAGAGCGACGCCCCGCTCTCATGAACCGCTCTCGCTCTGCTACAGCAGAATCCTCGCTCCCCGGCTCACGCAAGGCTCACGGCGATTTAAGCCCGGCCCGCCAGCCCGCGCGCCGCTGCTGCACAACACGGGCGTGTGGGGCATAACGGCACAAGTACGTGAGCTATGGCGGCGAGCCTCGTTATATTCGGCCTCCCCCTCCCCTCCCCTCCCCCTCCCCCGCGGCTGGTCCTGGTCGGTCACATCGCGCGGACTTATTATGCGCCGACCTGCGCGTTGCATAGAGCGGCCCGTCGAGGCCGCGCGCGTGGTGGCCGCCCGGAGTGCGAGAGAGACAGAGCGATGAGAACGACCCTCGGAATCAGTCTGCTGCGCGGCGGCCTGCGCGGCCTGCGCGGCCTCGACGCCGAGCCCTAGGGCCAAGGACGACCCCAGGACCGCGCTGTCGCCTCGTCCTTAATTGACTTCCTAATTGTCGAGTGACTGATAAGGGCCGCGGCACGCCGCACTCCGTCACTTCCCCGTCGCCCGCGAGCCTCCCCGCGCCGTGCCGCGCCCTCCTTCGCGGTGCTCCGGCAGTTCGGCGGCAGTGTCCGGGAGGACTCGACCCTTCGCCACTCGGCCGTCGCGGAGGGTGGCGGCGTGGCGGCGGCGGGAGGCAGAGGGAGTTCCCTGCATCGCCGGCCGCCGCCGGCGGCAGGCGGTACCCGCCGGTACCGGTGTACGGCGGCCACCTTGCCAACGAGGCACGGCGACGGCGGGGCGGCCAGGCCCTCGGCGGGGGCCGCGGGGGGCCCACAGCGCCAGCCAAACAGCTGATCGACTTCCCTCCCCCCTCCCTAACCCCCGCGGCCGCCCCCCCGCAGCAGACAGCTTTCGCGTCGCGAGGAGCTGAGTCGCGCTCGCGTCGCTGCTCGCTCGCCGTAGCTCGGCGCTGTGGAAGGCTGCGGCCACTTGGTCGACTTGGACGTTTTATCACTTAACGGGGTGACTGGTAGGCGCGCGTGTCCGTCCCACGTCGTCAGCCGTCCGCCGAAACTACCAACTGCACCGCCATGGCCGCGAGTAAAGGTAAACGGGTGCCTCCGAGGGGCGGTCGCGGTGTGAGGGGGAACTTGGCACTGTCACTAAGGCCCCGCGCCGTCCGCGGCGCCTGATATATTGGACAGAATACTGCTGGCATTCGTTTTGCACGTAGTGGGTAAAGTGCTCTCGGGGCCAGTTTCGTATTCCACAAGTACCAACACCCGTAACCTACCCTTTTGACAGATTTAGAGAGGTTAGGGTTTCTGCTCATTGCTGGTTCTTTTCCAAGTTACTGCTCTTAAATGTCCCGTTTGAGTCTCTGTCCCTCCCCTCTCACTCTTAACAATAGAAACTGGCCTGCTGTTTGTTCCCTTTCCTCTTGTTTCACTTTATGTTGACGTACTGTTTTGTTTTACAAGACGAACAATCTTCATGGTTTTGCTGGTACATTTGTTGTATTGTAGTTGTTATTGTATACATTCCAAGTAGTGTGATAACACAAAGCTCTTTTCTATTAATAAGGTCCTTTCTCTTTGCATTGCACTTTGCAATATCCACTGATATGTCCTACAATTGAGATCCGATCATAGCAATAGCTTATCGTCTCTTTGTGTTCACATTGCAGTTCCTCAGTCTTCTGAGCCCAAAAAATTCTCGTGAGTATTGAATCTTTTTCTTAATTTGTATTTCCTGATGAGTAATATTTCCAATCCAATTTGCATGATTCCAATTTCAATATTCTTCAGCAGGAAACAGAATGTTATTGAAAATGATTTTAATAATTGCACTGTCTTTGATTCCAAGGAGTCTGATTATTTCTTTATTTTTCAGGCTCGTTCCCAAAATCATCAATGGAGGCATCGCTGGTATCATTGGAGTATCATGTGTCTTTCCCTTGGACCTTGTCAAGACAAGACTACAAAATCAGACAGTTGGGCCAAAAGGGGAGAAGATGTACTCATCCATGTAAGACTCTTTCTCATTACAATGTAATTAAAACATTAGGAAATAATGTTGTTTTTGTGAATATAATTGATTCTCTGTTGCAGGCTCGATTGTTTCAAGAAAACATATGCTGCTGAAGGATATTTCGGCATGTACAGAGGTGTGTTGTTTGTTTCGTACTTCTACACCAATGTTTTGGTTAATAGACTGCAGCTTGTTCCAAATTCTTATGATTTCCTTGCTTGCAGGCTCAGCTGTCAATATCCTATTGATTACTCCAGAAAAGGCTATTAAGCTGACAGCAAATGATCTTTTCCGTCATTGGCTGCATCCAGGAAACACGTAGGATTCAGTAAAATTATTGTCAAATACTTATATGCTACGCCATTTTTGGTTTGAAATTTTGACACATATTGTATGTTACAGCAAACAGATGCCTCTTGTCAAAGAAATGATAGCTGGTGGCTCTGCTGGTGCCTGCCAGATTGTGATCACCACCCCAATGGAACTACTCAAGATTCAAATGCAGGATGCTGGGCGAGTGGCAGCAGCAGCCAAGCTTGGTGTGTTTCAGAGCCAATTTGTTTCTGGGCTGCAATTTTATTTTTACCAATTTCTCACCAACATTGAACTTTATTGCAGCTGGAAAGGAAGTGAAACATACATCTGCTATGGAATTGACTCGCTCTTTGCTGAAGCAAAGGGGTATTCTAGGATTGTATCGGGGCATTGGTGCAACTGGGCTGAGGGATGTGACCTTCTCTGTTATTTATTTCCCTCTGTTTGCACGCTTGAATGCTCTTGGTCCACGCAAAAATGATGGGTCAGGTTAGTTGTTTGTTCAGCCTATAAATTTGTAAGGGCAAACTCTTAATCGTAGTTCTTCTTTCCTACTCTTACTTTTCATTTTATAGGTGATGCTGTATTCTGGTGCTCATTCCTCTCTGGGTGTGCCGCTGGGTCTTTTGCCGCTCTTGCCGTCAACCCAATGGATGTTGTCAAGACTCGTCTACAGGCCATAAATCCTGTGGAAGGTTCATCATACAATGGTGTTATGGATTGTATTGTGTAAGTATTGTGTCTATCTGTTCGCTCTTGTGTGCTTCTGTGAACCTATCTAATTTCTTCATTTTTCATGTGTAGGAAAACATTGAAGAACGAAGGGCCTCTAGCCTTCTTCAAAGGAGGTGCTTGTCGAATGATTGTAATTGCCCCTCTATTTGGCATTGCTCAGACAGTTTACTACCTGGGTGTTGCAGAACGTCTTTTGGGAGTTCAGTAATTGTATTCATATTTGTGATTGTATTCAGTGTTAAATGTGACAAGACAATAATGCACTTTGTTACCTCAGATTCTTGTATTCACTACATTATTTGTGCTTTATAATATGAATGTTGTGCAATTTATTTATCTTTGCATGATGTTGTAGGAAATGTTGTTATGTAAGATTCAATGTAAGTGGACTTGTGTTGTTTCATATTTATTACTGTGAACTAAACCTGTATTTATTGTTAAAAATGCATGGTTTAGGGTTTCTAATCCATGTGGGTTCGTTTTATCTATCTTACCTTTTATCTTGTTTTTGAGCATTTGTTACCAGTGATAATGAGATGCAGCCCTGTTAAAATTGAGCTTTATTACTGTTTTTTAGCCATAGATTTTCATTTTTGTCACATCATGTCATACGTATCACTTACAATTTTTATTCATTCAATCATATCTTTCATATCAACGTGTGCCTATGAATGGTACTTCCTGCCATAGCTTTGAAGCTTCTTCTCTCAGTGAATAGTTGTGTCCATGCCCATTTCAAACAGCAATGTTGATGAAGTATTTGTGTTCATGAGGCAACAGATTTTCTCAAGGTCCTGTGCAGTATTTTCAAGTTTAGTGGTCGAAAAAACTTCTGCAGCATTTTCAATGTAATTTGAAGCTTACACTTCTGCAAATTTTGTTGCCTTTTCTTTTGCTCATGCATATTTTTCTTTTTCAATAGATGCCATTGAAACTTCCTTAAAGGAAGGAAGACTGAGTTAAAGCTGTAATTTTTATTTGTAGTCAATTAATACCTTATTTGCTCTTCTATGTCATGTGATTAAAAATAAAAATAGTTGTGGGGTTGCCATTTTCGATATTTTGTAACATGAAAATTGATGTGTTCATCTTTGATATCAGCCTTTGCCCTCTATTTTGTATGTCTTTGCTTTATGCTTATCATCAAACTAAATGTTTCATGTTTTACTGCATCTGAGAAATAAGTGGTCTTTAAGCTGTGTGCGTTTTGTGCTGCTTGAAGACTGTCTATATTTTTTAGTAGTATCACCTTATATTATATTTTTTGAATAATTCATTCCGCATATTACTTTCTTTCTTAGTTTTGCTTTTTCCTAGCCATTCCGTTTTGTGCTTTGTATATTTTACAGTTAGATTTCTCTTTGTGGTGTTTTTCTCTTGACCTAAAAAATGAATTGAAAATCCATATCTGTTTGTAACCAACATTGATTTCCATGAGAACATTAGTAGCAAGCTTTTGCTTTGGTATTTTTCATTATTAGACAAATTTAGTCTGTATTGTATGAAGTTCTGCCCAGTTTGTTCCTATTTATTTGTTTTCAGTATTGGAAAATCGTTTATTTTTAACTAACATCTTTTATGAGTGAGATTTTTTTATCTCTTGAGTCAATTGAAGCTATGACAGCTATGAGTATTTCAATAACAGTTTTTGGTTTGTCTAGTGATCTTACCATAACTGCATGCATTGCAATGACAGCATGTGAATTTGAGATGAAGATGCTTTAAGTCAACTTTCACCTTTATACTCCAACTTCCATTGAATCATTTGTTTTATCTATGTTCATATCATACTTAGCTGATTACTGATTAGAATTTCAGGAATATAATGTACATTCCGTTGATTGTTATTGCTGAATAATACCCTAACAAATGTAATGCAGAAAGCCATTAGTTCCATTTGATAGAGTGATCCATTGCAAATAGCTCCTACCAACAACATCTAAATCCAGTATTTGACTCTGATGGTTAGCCTCATTCTAGTCATCAATTTTAAGCAAAGTTGTACTGTGACTTAGGTTTATTTCATGATTGTGATGTGCATTAAGGTATTTTATTTCTGTCGTGCACCAACACAGTTGTTGTCACCTGTGATGAGCTTCTATTCTACCTATGTCTATCACTTTTCTCCGACAATATAGATAAATGCGAACTTTTATTTATGGCTGTGTCATCGTCATCCATGTCTAATTATTCTATATGTGCTATGAAATGGCGTCCTTTTAAAAGTGTTTCTTTTTAATGTAGTGTAGTTTCAATTTTCGTTTGATTGGTTCAGATAACAATATTTTCTTGCCATGACGTTTATCTGCCATAGAGTGTGGATGATGATAAGATAAATTTGAGTGCATTGAAAACTCAAACATGACATTTGCACAAAACCATTATTGGTATTGTATTGTAATTGTATGTGTGTATGCACAGATTGTTAATGTTTGTTAAGTTTAGTAGTACTGTAACAGCAAAGCAAAGAGACTTAAAAGAAAGTGCTTACCGTGCATAGGAAAGTGGAAACAAATCTGCTCCTCTCATGTCTTTCCTCTGGGCTTTGATCGAAGATATTGAGTATATTTGATCATTTCTCCACTAAATAATGAACTTGAGACTTGTATTCGATGTGTTATAGTTGTAGGTGTGCGCTTACTGTGGTACATTAAACTGTGTAGTTAAGTATCAAAAAGTTAAAATAATTTCCTACCAAGCCTGCAATCAAGCCACAAACACTGCCATCATCAAAGTTAAGGGCGTAAAAAAATTGGTTTATTACAACTCGCGTCTACAAATTTCACCTTGAGCAAGTCAGCAGTCTTAGTTACACAAATTACAAGTAAAGAATGATTGGAAGGTGGGACAGGGCGCGCCGCCTTCCCTTCCCGGTGTGGCCGTCAACAGCTCACGGGAAGTCAGACCGTTGCTCTGCGGCCGCCCCCGCCCCTACGCCATCGCCGCAGCGAGGAGGCACACCGCAAGGGCCCAGGCCCCGGAGTGCGCGGTCGTGGTCGTGGCCGCGCTGACGTTGGGCTTGTCGGTGTTGTCGGGGACGCCGGGGTCGCCGATCCAGTCCAGCAGGAAGGCCACGTCCGTGTACACGCCCGGCAAGCGCTCCAGCCCGCAGCCCGCGCCCCAGGACACGATGCCCGTCAGCTTGCCCTGGCACACGAGCGGGCCGCCGGAGTCGCCCTGCGGAGGGACAGAGACAGAGACAGAGTCAGGCGGGTATGTTTGGGGAGGCCCTCGGTGGGAGAGAGATGCCTGCATCATCGCAGCCCGACCGAGCGATTCATCATTCAAGAGCGCCTGATTCCGAAGGATCGTTTCGTCGCTGTGTCTCTCTCGCTCTTGAGGGACATCCCGTCGGGGTGCGAGAGAGACAGAGCGATGAAACGGTCCTTCGGCAAGAGGCGGCAGAAGAGCGGTCGCTCTGTCTCTCTCGCAGAGCTCCATGAGTGCGACAGAAAAACGACTCGTCGGAACGGCTCGGCCGACCGCCTGCAGTGTAGGCAACCCGTCGCGCGCCGCGGGACGTTCTACGGCCTACCTGGCAGGCGTCCCTCCTCCCCTCCTCGAAGCCGGCGCAGATCTGCGTCTCGATGATGGGCTCGTAGTCCTGCTCCTCCGCGTAGTACGCGGCGCACGTGTCGTAGTCGATGATGGGCACCTTGACGCCCTTCAGCTTGTCGGGCAGCGTGTGGGACTGGTGGACAAACCAAACAGTGTCGTTCAGGCCGCCGAGCCGACCGGACCGCCGGACTGATTCCCAGAGTCGTTTTCGTGTTGTCCTCGCACCCACACGGGACGCCCCATGAGTGCGAGAGAGGCAGAGCGACGAAAAAGACTCTCGGAATCGTGCGTGTTGCTTTTGCTTACCCCTTGGACGGTGGTGCCCCAGCCAGTGGCGACGCAGTCATACCCCGCCGGCAGGTTCTCCACGTCCTGCAGCTCCACCGCCTTGATGTACTTGTCGTCCAGGGTCAGAGGCTTCTGCAGCTGCAATCACATTCCGTCCACTTCAGATTCACTTCAGATTCACTTCAGATTCACTTCAGCCGCTCGCAAGACAGATCTCCGACTACGAGCTGAACCGAGAGGTGAATCATTCGGCGTTCTGGTGGTGTACACATGAGTGGGTAACACCTTCCAATATTCATAAGTCCTACGTTTTCTAAACCTCTCAAGGCTTAATTTTGTCTTTAAATCGAAGAACAACGCCAAAGAGGGATGAAATTGAGCGATTTTTGCCCTTTTAAAACCTGTGAATAGCCTGAATTCACTATAAGTGATTCATCCCTCGAGCTGATTCAAGCTCAAACAGGCTGCATTTATCCACTTGTTGCTCTTACGATGAGCAGCGCGATGTCGTAGTCGTTGTAGACGGGGCCGTAGTCGGGGTGCACTATCTTCTGCTTGACGAAGATCTGGACGCCGCCTGAGCTCAGCAGGTTGCTGCCCGCGACGATGTACAGGTCGCCGATGTCGGTGCCGGCCACACTGGAGAGAATGAAATTAACTTAGAATATTAAGACTGTGGGCCCGCACCAGACGACCAGACTGATTCCGAGAGTCGTTTTCGTCGCTCTGTCTCTCCCACCTCTCCGGGACACCCTTAGAGTGCGGGAGAGACAGAGCGACGGAAACGACTCTCGGAATCAGTCTGCAGGGGATCGAACGCGCGACTTGGCGGCTCCGCGGCTTACTTGTGCATGCAGTGTGCCGCCGTGATGATGGTGGTGTCGTTGAGGATGGAGCCGCCGCAGAAGTGGCCCCAGTTGGCCGTCCTCAGTTTGGACCTCACCGACACCTTGCGGGGCGGAGAGAGTCATTCTACTGCTTCAAGAAACCGCCCAAAACAAACACAATCCGAGGGAAGAACCACACTCTGGTGACTGATTCCGAGAGTCCTTTTCGTCGCGCTGTCTCTCTCGCACTCATGGGGCGTCCTGTAGAGGTGCGAGAGAGACAGCGACGAAACCGACTCTCGGAATGAGTCCGCTGCGCCTGGCTGCGCCCTGTGTGCTTGCCTGGTAAGGGAACTGCCCCGGCTCGGCGTCGAAGCCCCCGATGATCCGGGGCGCGGGGCCGACGCCCGTCTGGACGAACACATCGCGGTACTTGCTGGTCCGCGACGTCCGCGACGGCGTGGTTTGAGTGCTGCGCGCGTCTGGCAAACACAGAACAGACGCCGCTCTGTCTCTGTCGCACTCATGGGGCAGCCCGTACGGGTGCGAGAGAGACAGAGCGACAAACCACTCCTCTGTTTCAATCACGCGGCCGCACACAGCACTTCGCGTTGCGCGGGGTCGCCGGCCGGCCGGTTCTGCTCTGGTGGGCTCCATGGCGCTTTCGTCCTGCAGACTGATTCCGAGAGTCGTTTTCGTCGCTGTCTCTCTCGCACTCACGGGCGTCCCGGGTGGGTGCGAGAGAGATAGAGCGACGTGAACGACTCTCGCGGGGACCTGGGGCCGCGCGGTGCTTCCAAGGCCGTGCGCTGTGCGCTGGCCGCGGCTGGGGCGTCGGGAGCGCGATGATCCTCGGCACTAAATGGCCGAACCACTATCGTCGGCTCTAGATTGTGCGCCGCGCCGCCAGGGAACAGAAATCGCGCGGTGTGCGGCGTTTGACCCAAGTAGCCTCGCCGTCGAGGCCGTGGTGGCCGTCGAGGCCGTGGTGGCCGTTGAGGCCGTGGTGGCCGTTGAGGCCGTGGTAGCTGACGAGGCCGTCGTGACCATGGAGGACGCCATGTCCGTCGTGACCGTCGAGGCCATCATGAGGGCACTCGCCTTCAGCAGCCCGAACTCATTAAGCACGGCGTCGGCGCGCTGTCGCTGCGTCATTCAAACTCGTTGACATTGCATCGGCGGGCTTGCACTTTGCATCATAAACGACTCTCGTTTCCCTTCCTTGTCGCACATACTCGGCGCGGCGCGCGCATGCCCAAAAGAGACTCCGCGACACGGCCTAATTTAGAAGAGGAAAACCGTCGCCGCGGCGAGACGCGAGACTTTGGCAGGTGCGGAAAGGAGGGGAGGAGGCGGGGGCACGTGGGTGTGGAGCCCCCCGGGGCGTGGCGGCCGTGCGCGGCAGATCCGTGGCAGCCGAGGCAGGAGCAGAGGCAGGAGCAGAGGCGCGCGTCCAAGCTCCAAGTCAGTCCAAGCGCGGTGCAGTTGACCCAGGCACTGCTCCACAACCCAGCCGAACGCGCGCGCAACCGTCGGGCGAGTGCCGGCCGCGAGGTACGTCAGGGAAGTTTAATAATCTGGATTGAACTGCGCTAGGCCAACCGTCCACTGATAACCACTTCAAGTGTTTTGTGTGCTCTGCGCGCTGTGCGCTATGCGGTACGTGAGGCAGGCAGGGGGGGTAAACAGTTCGAAGAATCGTGTACAGACTACCCGGTATAGCGCTGCGTTACGGTGCAATGGAACGTGTATGACGGCATCAAAATGCTGCAATTTGGTCATATTTTACCCCAAAATGGTATAACGTTTACGTGTATTACGGGTAGTACAGGGACTGCGTGTACAGTGCATTACGCGAGTGTTTATCTCTTCGGCTGGCCGTGCTCGCCGTGAGTCACAGCAGCTCAGCATCCTCTATGTCGCGATGCGTCCACGCCACTGTGTCCAGCAGACTGATTCAGGGGGCCGTTGTCGTCGCTCTGTCTCTCTTGCACTCATGGGGCACCCCGTATAGGTGCGACAGAGACAGAGCGACGAAGACGACGCACCCGCGGAATGGCTTCGCTTGCTCGTCACAAAACACCGAGTGTCATTGGCATCGATAAAGCAGCAGGAATCGGGAAGCGGAGGAGCAGTGGCCTGATTCTGAACGGCTGTGGCGTCGCTCTATCTCTGTCGCACTCATGGGTCGATTAGTAGGGTGCGAGAGAGACAGAGCGACGAAACGACCCTTCAGGAATCGGTCAGCAGGAGCAGTCGGCGGTTACGGCATCCGCGATACCGGATTATGAGGAGGAGGAGGAGAGGCCCTCGAAGTGGCGGTACTAGGTCGGCGGGGCAGGCCGGAAGCACGCTTGCCTCGGGTTGCCGAGGCCGGGCGTCCCCGATCTCCATAAAGCCACCTGAAGTGGCCTCTCCGCGGGCTGATTCCGCACCCTTCCGACGGCGTTTCGTCGCTCTGTCTCTCTCGCACCCACGCGGGGAGCCCCGTGAGTAAGAGAGAGAGGGAAAGAGAGAGGACGTCCGGCGTCGCCCCGCGTCAACACGCGCGGCTATTTTGGTTGACGGGTTTCGCGGGCGCGGAGCGCGGGGCTCGGGCGGGGGCACCGGCGCGTCGTGGACTGCAGGACGCTGGTGCCGCGGCGTCGCGGCGCTAGCTGTCACAGCGGCCCGGCGTCGGCGGCCACCGCACCGGCACGGCCATCTCCTTGGCGCGGCAGAGCAGTCGAGCGATTCAGAAGAGTCACACCGTCGCTCTGTATCTGTCGCACTCATGGGGTTCATCATGAGGGTGCGAGAGAGACAGTGCGAGAAACCGATCTTCTGAACCGCTCGGCAGGCAGGGCGAAGGGGGAACGGAGAGCGGGCGGGCGGCGGGTCTCTGACGCGGGTTGGGCCTTCCCTCCCCCGCGGCAGGCGTCGCACCGTGCGTGGTGGGCGCGGGCGACCACAGCGTGAGAGAGGGAGAGAGAGAGAGAGAAGGGGAGTCGGAGAGAGGGAGCATCAGGGAGCACGCCGCCACAACGCGCACACCGCGCCGTGCGTGCGGCCGGGACGGACGGACGACGGCCAGGTCCGCCTGCGTGACGGCGCCGCCGGTATCGACCGGGAGCCGTGCGAGTCCAGAAGGCCTGCAGGCTGACTCCGAGAGTCGTTTTCGTCGCTCTGCCTCTCTCGCTCTCGTGGGAGGTCCCGTAGAGGTGCGAGAGAGGTCGAGCGACGAAAACGACTCTCGGAATAAGCAGCCACAGCCGGCCCTGCGCCCGCGCCACTGCCCAGTGCGTCGCGACACCCTACCCAGGGGGCCACCCTGGCCACCTAACCGCGTGGACGAAGGGACCCCGACGGACCGGGCTGTCCGGGCCCTCGCTGCTGAGCACCACGACGTTGGCCGCTATCCGAGCGATTCCAAAGATCATGTCGCGCGGCTCCGCCTCTCTCGCACCCCACGGGACGTCTCACGAGTGCGAGAGAGGCAGTAATGACACTATCCTTCGGTATCGCGGCCGGCAGCGAGTGGCCAGCCCCGCGGTGACGCTGGCGGCGCGAGCGGCGCGAAGTAAACACGGCCCTGCGGCGGCGGGACACCACTTGGCCGCCAATTTAGCCGGGCCACCCTTGCCCGCCGCGCCCCGCCGCGCTCCGCCGCGCCCCTCTGACTCACCACTCAGCGCGACGACGACAGAGAGCAGAAAGAGAGCACTAAGTGTGCCGCGGTGCGGCATGGTGTGCGCGGCGCGGCGCGGCGCCCTTCACTGTGGACGCGCTGTCGCTGGCGGCGGTGGAGCAGGCGAAGCAAAGGGAGGGGCTGGCCGTCGGGAGCAGGGCCGGCCGGGCGTCGCGCACGTCGGGACAGACTGCGGCTAAAGCGGCGTCCCCGTGCGTGCAGGCCGTGCAGGCCGCGGGCGCGCGCGGTGCCTCCTTATCTGCCTTATCAATTCTATCATTGTCTCCGCCTCCCGCGAGGACTCCGCGGAACGGACTCGCTGGATGATGAGGACCTCCTAGTCCCTTCGTCCTTAGTCAGTGTAGTGCCCGTGGCCCTTGTCCGTTGGCCCTGGGCGCGCTTGGCGGCTGGGCCAACGTCAGGCGAAGTCGAGCGGAGGAGCACTGTAGCGATTGCAGCCGAAGGTGAAGGGCAGCGCCTGCTCGCGTAGAGACAGAGAGAGATAGACTTACAGATAGAGGCAGATAGACAGAGATAGACAGAGAGACGCTCTGGGACACTGCGAAACTCCAAGTCGCGCCCGGCCCGCGCCGGCGTTTGAATAAGCGCGCCGTCCGCCTTATTCCGTTTCCGTAGTCCGCCGCGAGGGGCGCTGCCGGCGCGAAAGTTCGCGATCGACTGTGGCAGCGACACTATCGATTCGTGCTTCACGGACGAGGATTTGTGATGAATCATTGTTTTATTCAAACTCTCTTTTCGCATTGAATATTTTTGGATTGCGGCAAGAGTCTGCGGTGATTTTACGGCGTTTTCAGGTGGGCTCACCGAAGAGATTACCTCGGTATTCGTCAGGCCATTCGCCCGAAGTTAGGTTAGGTTCCCCTCCACCCGTCCGTCCCCCTCCCCCTCACCCGTAAGCTCTCGCTCTTTCCTTCTCGTCGGGAAAATTCTGGACTTGACGCCAGTGTGCTGCCGAGGCTGAGGAAATCATCTGTGGTGTGTGCCTTTCAGTGTTCTTGTTGTCGTTGTCGAACAGGCGCGTGCGCTAACCACTGGCGGTTGCTCTGATTATCTTGTAATAACTCTCTGTGAACGGATTTCGGAGTAAATCGAGTGGACCTGCGGCAAGTGTTTAGGCCTTGTCTTCACACTTTTGTGCAATGTGAGGGTGCTATTACTGCTAGTCGACCTTGCTTTCTGATCGCTATTCACGTTTGATTGACACAGATCCAAGGCATGACTGAAATATCCGGCACTCGTGCGCCTCCTGTTTTCACGTCCCTTTAATCACATCTTTAAATTTTTAAATTTTATTATATTTTCTCCTTACATAACCTACGAGCCGGAAGCAGTAGCCTTTAGAAATTTTACCTCCTCGCGCTGTCAAGGCTCAAGATTATGAATGTGGCTGGTTATTTTTGAGCACTGCTATTAGTTTCTTCGTTGAGAATTCTAATGCTTAACTGTTATGTCGTAACCTTATGAAATCTCCTCATTTTTCTGTCTTTTCTCACTCCATGGAGTCTTTTGTGTATCATTATTTGCTCCTCTTGTCAGCCTTGATTTCATATATAATTGTTACCATTTTGAAATGCACTGTTTTCTGATATTCAAATTATTTTAAGGCAACTACTGATATAGAGTATCAGGCAGGGTATCAGTATTAAAATTTAATCGAAACTTACTTTGAATGTTGCATGCTCCTTTCTGATTGCAGATTCAGTAAACTGCTGAGTCAAGATGGTGAAAGAAACCCGATTCTATGACGTGTTGGGTGTCAAGCCTCAGGCAACCACTGAGGAAATCAAGAAAGCCTACAAAAAATTAGCGTTGAAGTATCACCCTGACAAAAACCCTGATGAAGGCCACAAGGTATAGATCAACACTCTGAATCCAGTTTAATACTCCCTCTCCTGTTGGAAACCATCTAATAATCTGTTTTTGTTTTCAGTTCAAGGAAATAGTCTCAGCGTATGAAGTCTTATCAGATCCAGAGAAGCGTAAGACCTATGACAGGTTTGGTGAACAAGCCATCAAGGAGGGAGGTTCAAATGGCGGAGGCTTTGGTGCACCTCATGACATGTTTGACATGTTCTTCCGAGGGGCCGGCTTCTTTGGAGGTGGTGGTGGTTCCCGAAGTGAGCATGCTCGACAGGCCAACAATGTTGTGCACCAGCTTGCTGTAACCTTGGAAGAGTTATACAAGGGAAGCACACGCAAACTTGCTTTGCAAAAGAACGTTGTGTGTACAAAATGTGACGGTGAGTATCTGTCCATCATGTTGCTGGATGCTCTCAGCTGTGCTCATTGAAGCAAAGTCTGATTTGGAATCTATTTTGACTTTGCAGGAAAGGGTGGCAAGAAAGTGGAGACCTGTCCCAACTGCAAGGGTGTTGGTGTCCAAATCCAAGTGCAGCAGCTGGGTCCCAACATTGTGCAACATGTGCAGAGCGCGTGTGGTGAATGCCGTGGGCAGGGTGAACGAATTAGCCCGAAGGACCGTTGCAAGCATTGTAACGGCAAAAAGGTCAGTGGTCTTTTTTTCTTTTTTTCATGTATAAAATTTTTAATGATCTCAAGGCACAATGGGACTGACAGGTTGTAACCTCTCTTTCAGACCGTTCCAGAGAGGAAAATCATTGAAGTACACATTGACAAGGGTATGCAGGATTCACAGAAAATCACATTTTCCGGTGAGGGTGACCAAGATCCTGGTGTGGAACCTGGTGATATGATCATAGTCTTAGATGAAAAGGAACACGAAGTATTTAAGTGAGTCTCCTTTTTTGAGTCTACCTCTACGAACAACTCCTGAAACTTGAGCTAATAATTGTTATTCTTATAGGCGGTCTGGAAATAATCTCATTATGAGAATGCATTTGGAACTTGTTGAGGCGCTGTGTGGTTTCCAGAAGGTGATCAAGACCCTCGATGACAGAGATCTTGTCATTACCTCTCTCCCTGGTGAGTAGCAGAGTCCATAAGCCTTCAACATGTGCCTGACACTGATTACATTTTATTGAACTGATTTTAACCTATCTTTCATTTTGTCTTTAGGTGAGGTTATCAAGAGTGGTGACGTTAAGTTTGTTCAAAATGAGGGTATGCCTCAATACAAAAATCCTTTCGAAAAGGGCCGGCTGATCATTCAGTTCTTGGTGAATTTCCCTACTTCAATTGATCCTGCGATCATTCCCCAATTGGAACTATGCCTTCCTCCCAGGTAAATTTTTAAATTGTGGTTTTGTGTTCCAACTTTTTATGCTTTGTGCTTGAATCTCACACTTGTTTTATTTTCATTATGTAGAGAGGAGATCATGATCCCTGACACAGCGGAAGAAGTCATGCTGGTGGATATGGACCCCAATCAACAACGCCGTGAATCCCGCAAGCAATACAGTGACTTTGATGAAAATTGCGGTAACAGAGTACAATGTGCACCACATTAACTCAAGTGATTTTTCTTAATTTATTTACCAAATTTCACTTACTTTGAGCTTTCCTGTAACACTGATCTAGATTTACTATTGCATAGGACTCTTTAGGTCAGGATTGTAGGCTTATTTTCTCAACCAGTATAATAAATGGAGACTACCATTCCAAAGTATGAAAAAATGTGTTTACTTTAAGGCTAGCTTCATTTAATTTTAGCGTCTTCTACAGAATGTTCTTGTACTTTAAGTACTAATTCAAATCATCCCATTTTGTACCAAGTTTAATAGCAATTGCCAACAGAACATCTCTGTAATAAAGTGGAGTATTGTGTGCAGGTAATCTTTACTCTTTATTTTATTTAACATCTAAGATGAGGAAACAATAAATTAATTTACAGTGTACAGCACTTAAATGACTTTTAACTTTATTTCCATGTTTTCTACTTGACAGAAATGTCATGTTCAGATGCTGGGATAAAATTAAGGTCGCTTTTGAAGATTACCTCAATTTAATCAAGATTTTTTCAAAAAGGGGTACAAACAGTTGTATTATTCACTATGACATAAATTATGTACAACATTTAAAATAAAAAAACAGACTGTTCTGGTCATGTCTTAAATTAGTATTCTAAGATTAAGGAGTATTCCCCATTATGGATGAAATTTTGCTTCTTAGATGGTCATGGCAAAGTGACTAAAAATGAAGACCAAAGCAGCAAGTCATCTAAATACGGAAGGGCCTCAGCGAGTCTGCTGTCAGGGACACACTGAGATCCCAAAAGTCGATCAACTCAGTCAATGTGCTGCCCAGCTTCAGCTTGCACGCCACAATAATTCCAATTTGAGTTAAGGGACTTTATGAACAAGCAGGTGTGGCAACTTCTCTGCCTGGAAACATGTTCTTCGAACTTCGAGTCATCGGATCACTAAATTACAGTTGGCACAGGGTTGGTTCTCTGGTCGAGCAGAAGCAGCAAAGTGTCTCCGCCTCACCGCCTGAGAGTGCGGTGCGGCGTGGAGAGCCACAGCAGGAGGACGGAGGGCAGCAGGAGGGAGACGGCGTGGAGCGCGCCGCGCGGGGCCTGGTGCACCCCGCCGGGGCCCGCGTTGTAGAAGCCGCCGTACACCTCGAGCCCCGCCGTCTCGATGCTGCGCTTGCAGTAGTCGCCGTCTGAAACGGGCACAGGGACAGTGTCGATCATCGTTCGCGGGTTCACCGATCTAATTAGATTTTGAAATGGTTAAAATTGAAATGTGCATCCTGGCAGCGCCCTCACCGTAAGTCCAGCCCGCGAACTCGTTGGTCCTCAGGTTTTCGTTCTGCAGCCACTCCTCCAGGGGGCGGAAGTACTCGCGGAGGGCCGACCCGTTGAGGCGGCTCTCTCCGGTGGCGGCGTAGAGGGCGTCCCCCCACGTGGTGCTGGAGCCTGACTCCATCAGGCGCCTGCAGACAGAGACAAGCAGCGGAGGGTCAACTTTGGGCACTGCAGATTGATTCCGAGAGTCGTTTCCGTCGCTCTGCTTCTCTCGCACTCATGGGGCGTCCCTTGTAGGTGCGAGGGAGACAGAGCGACGAGAACGACTCTCGGAACGAGTCCGCTGTACGGCATCGGGTAGGACGCAACGCAGGGCTCGAAGGGCTCGTCGCTCTGTCTCTCTCGCACTCCTCCGCGACGCGACGTACGCGACGTGCGTGCGAGAGAGACAGAGCGACACGCCGAGTCATGGCGAGTCACCGCCACGTGGGGCAGGCTGGGCAGGCGCACGGCGGCGCGGCGTGGGCCGGGTCGCGGACTTCGCGGTCGCGGCCACGGAGCACGCCAACTTATCTACGCAGTTTGCCGGGCGTCTCCCTCGCACTTGCGGCTGCGGCGCGGCCGCGGGGAAGGCCGTGCCAGCTCTCCGCGGCCGTCTAGCTGGCCAAGCCACGCGCGTCAGAGCCCGGTCTATTCGCGAGGTGCGCCGTGCCGGATGGGTTGCCTGCGCGCCGGGCGCTGCGTTGCCCCGACGGCGCGTTGGATGGGTTGCCTACACCGCAGGACTCCAGGACTCCACACTCAGCCCGAGCGTGCCCTGCCCTGCTTCGGCGGGCCTCGCCGGCGGCGCTACAAAACCGGGAAAGTACGTCCCAGTGGGTCAAAGTGCAGAGGTAGCCGGCGTGCTTACAGGAAACCTGGGTTCGACTCCCAAGCATGACAACATTTTCCTCGGATTGCTTCTCTAATTTGATACATTTACTCTCAGAAGAATCCGGTATCATCAGTTTAGGTTTGAGCAGAGCGGTCATTGGTGTTTCGGTAGCTTAGATACTTCTTAAATCTGATGCCAGGAGCGAGTGCCCGCAGGGAGGACGGCGAATTTATGGTCAAACCCTACACATCTTGGCTCGCAAATGAACCCGAGTAGGGCGAGTGCTGCGAGTGCCGCTAGAACTCGTCCGAAGCGCCGCGCGCGCGGATGGAAAATGAAAACAGACCAATCAGTCGCCGACCCAGTCCCGCGGCGGCCACAGCGGCGGCCCGACCGGACGGGTGTCCAACGAGGGGTCCGTCTTGAAGCTGGCGGGGACCGAGCCCGCCGAGTCCGTCGAGTCGGACCCACCGACACTAACGAAACGTCAAAGGCAATCTAATCCGTTACGTCACGGCCCACCGCGCACCTTTCGGCCTGTCAAACACACACACACACACACACACACGACAACGATCTGCATCACTTCCGGAAGGGACAGGCCCGGCAAGGCCCGGCTGGCCGGCCACTCGCGACAAAGGCGCACCGTTCTAGGAGACGGCGGGGCGGGGCGGGGCGGGGCGGGGCCCAGCGTTTTCGGAGCTCGGCCCAGAGCGGGCCGCTGCCGTATCCCACTGCCTGCGCAATCGCGTATTAATTATATCGCGGCTTCGCGGCTTCCTAACGGCGCTAAACGTGCGGCAGCCACTTTCGCCCCGCCGGCCCGATCCGCGCGCCAAATAACCCGAAACAAACAACCCGAAACCCGGCGGCGCGGGTTCGATCCCCGCCGGCCGCGTCACTTCCGTCAACTTACTTGAGGATGTTGCCGGCCTCCTTGGAGCGGTAGATGTCGCACTTGTGCAGCTGCAGGTCGTCGTTCTCGGGGTCGTACTGTCCGGCGGCGCGGCACATGGCCTTGTGGATCTGGAACTGCAGGATGGTGGCCACGAAGTACCTGGGGGACAAGGGGAGTACGGCGTTAGGCAATGCACCGTGGGGCAGAAGACCGGTGGTGGCGGCCAAACCTCTAGACGCGTTTTGAGCTCCAGAGTCACTAAATGGAACTCGAACCGAACGTGTGAACCCACCAATGAATTGCTCTCCGAACGTGGAATCCATTGGTGGGGTCACACTTTACGTTCGAGTCCTGTTTAGCGACTCTGGAGCTCAAAACGCGTCTGGAGTTTTGGCCGCCTGCGCCGGTCTTCTGGCCCACTGTGCAAGGTCACGCTCGGCTTTCCTCACGACGTCAATCAAAGCGGCGGCGCGTCAATGCATGGCCAATGGGCAATGGGCGCACTGCACTGTGCACCGCTCGCGGGTCAGGGTCGGCCGGCGTGGCTCTTGCAGCGTACCGCCCCGCGCCGCCCCGCGCCGCCCACCGTCATGTCGAAATGTTAACGAGCCGCGCGGCCCGCACCGCGCTGACGATGACGAAGAGTCTGCCGGAGCACTTAGTTTCCTCAGTGCACCTCGCGGCGCGGTGCTGCTGCGTTGTGCCGCGCGGCCCTTGTCGTCGCACCGCGTCCACCAGTACGCAACGGCGCGCGCATCAAGGGAGGCTGCCGGCCAAGCAGACCGATTCCGAGAGTCGTTTTCGTCGCTGTGTCTCTCTCGTACCTGTACGGAACGTCCCATGAGAGCGAGAGAGACAGAGCGACGAAAACGACTCTCGGAATCGGCCTGCAGCAGCCAGGCCCGAGGCAGGCGGACTCGGACTCCGGGTCGCCGTGGCGCAGTCTGCCCGGCGCGCAGCGGTGTGCGGCGGGACTGCCTGCTGTCCGGGCGGCCGGCCGGTCCGCGCTCACGCACACAACACAGTGATGCAATGGCCGCACTGGCACAGTTGCCTTGTCCGCTGTCCGCTGCTCAGAAACGCAACGTTCACGCACTCCCTTACAGCGTACCGTCCGCTTTGCAGGCGCAGGCCCTTCTTGGAGCGTGCAAGAGCTCACGTGCTCCTTTCCTCCTGTCTAAATGCACGGGAGGAGCGTGGTTGTACGCTTCTAGAAGCTTAGTTCTGTGCTTGAATGAAGCGTAGAACTACGTTCCAGCTTTACCAGCGTGTCCGCACCCGCCCCGGCCCGGCCAGGCCAGGCCAGGCTGACCCATATCGCCCCGGAAGGTTGGAGCATCTTAATTAGCTGGTTGACGGGCGGTCGGCCGGCCTAGAGCGGCGCATCCTTGATCGGCATGGGGATCCCCGGTCCCCGTCTCATCCTTCCATTCAACGCGACGAGCCACGCCGTATGTGTGTGTGTGTGCGAGAGAGACAGAGCGTCGCAGCCAGCAGGGCTGCCGGCGCTGCACGCCAGTTACGTCGTGTGGACTACTGCCCGGCTCTCACGATGGGTCACGAGCACAGCGCAACAATTTTATAAAATGTCTTAAAAAGGGAAACCCGACTCGAGTGGTCAAGTGGGGTGTCGCATTGTCGCTGAGGTGACACTGTGGCTCGCGCGGACTCGGACCACCCCAAGACGGCTAGCCAGCCCACCCCGCCCCGCCCCGCCCCGCCCCGCCGCCCCGCCCCGCCCCGCCCCACCTTCCAGGGCACAAAGCGGCTCACTTGGCTATCTCGGGAAGCGAGGCAGGCTGAGGCAGGCGGTGGAAACGGGCTGACACCGCCGACACCGGCACAACAAAACACGTCCTGCGAGCTACTACACTGGCAGGCTGCATGCAAATAAGGAGCCGCGCTGCAGCTCCAATTATTACAGTGCGAGAGAAAAATAATGGCGACGCTAAACGCGAACTCGCGCGCGGCTTGTGAATTCGGAAGCGGAGCAAGGTGGTGTGGGAACGGGCTGCAGAGAGGCAGTTTGCTTTCGAACGGTGTTTTCGTCGCGCTGTCTCTCTCGCACTCCCACGGCAAGCTCCTTTGAGTGCGAGAGAGACAGAGCGTGCTCGAGTGTGTGCGAAAGGCCGGACTGGACCAGGCACGGCGACTACTAGGCAGACAGACACACTACCGGTCACCTCACCGTCAGTCTGACGAGGGAGGGAAAAAACGCAGGCTGCTTGCGCGGTGCGGGTTTCATTCCAGCACGCGGTGTCTCCGTTTTTCGAGCACGCAGCAGACGGTTTCCGAGAGTCGTTTTCGTCGCTCTGTCTCTCTCGCACTCATGGGGCGTCCCGTATGGGTGCGAGAGAGACAGAGCGACGAAAACGACTCTCGGAATCGGTTGGCAGTTCCACGACGCGCGAAGCTCCGCGGCGAACGTGTCGCGTCGGGGAGAACTTTAAGTGCACACGACGCGCGAAGCGCCAAGCGCCAAAGGGGTGCTGCTTGGCCGTCCGTCGACGTTCCATCGTTCCGTCTCGCCGACGGTTTGGCAACGACTTTTATTTATTCCTCCGTCCGAGCGAAGCGCGAAGCGAGCAAGGCGAAAGCACGCCATCTTAACTGCCCTGCCCGCCCCATATCACACGACAGTAAAGCCACACCGACGTCAATAAGGTGCTGCTGCGACTACCGCGAAAAAAAAAACCACTCGAAAAAAAAAGTCGTTAGCGAAATGAACTACTGTTAATCATGGAACGAGCAAATAAATCTGACGGGGAATAAGCGAGCAACAGTGTTGTGGCGTTACTCAACCGGAGAAGTGCCTCACGTTCTAAACGGCATCGCGCGCCTCTCCGCGGCCCTCGGCCCCTTCTCCGGCCGGACTCATTCCGAAAGTCGCTTTCGTCGCGCTGTCTCTCTCGCACCCACACGGAGCGCCCCGGGAGTGCGAGAGAGACAGAGCGACGAAAACGACTCTCGGAATGAGTCTGCTGGTGGCTGGTCGGCCAGGCCGGTCGGCCCCAGGCCTAGGCCGCTCCGGAGCCGGCCGTCGTCCCAATTTAAATAACCCCAAACCAGACCACCTGCGCCGCGCCGCGCCGCCGTAACCGGGCTCTTTTTAGTGTAGTGCCTCTGCATCGGCAGGCACTTCGCACTAAACCCACGCCTGAAGGGTGAGGTGGGACTGGGCCAGCGATATGCATGGGGCCGCCATGAGGCCACACTGCCAGAGTGTGCGGGTGTGGGTGCATGTGCGTGTGAGCGCGTTGGTGTGTCCGCGTGTGTCTGTGTGTGTGCCCTCAAAAAACCCAATTGATTTAAAATGGTCTCAGCAGCGAGCGCCGCGACGCGCGCAGTCCAGGAACCCGTCTGCTGCACACACGGCCTACTTCGCTATCGGCCTGCCCTGCTCGCTGGGGCTCAAGCTCGCTGTCGCAGTGCAGGGAGGCAGAGAGCAAGCCAGCCTAAAAATGTTACGATTCCCCGGCCTGCCCGCCACGTCGCCGGGGTGGGGAATCCGGCAGCTCGTTTTGTGCTGTGTGTGTGTGTGTGTGTGTGTGTGTGTGTGTGTGTGTGTGTGTGCGCGCGAGAGGAGAGAGAGAGAGAGAGAGAGAGAGAGAGAGAGAGAGAGAGAGAGAGAGATAGAGAGAGAGAGAGATATCCAGAGAGAATGAGAGGGTTCGAACGGGGCGTGGCCCGACGCCCGACACGCGGCGCCCAAGCGGCCTGCCGTGGTAAAGTTGTGAAATCCCTTCGCGGAGAAGTCAGGAAAACACTCGCGATGACGGCGAAAAGGGACGGGGAGGGGGAGGGGGAGGGGAGGGGGAGGTTTCACACGCCCCGCATTTCCGTTAAGTGGGGCCGCCAGTTACAGTGGCCTGCAGCCTGATTCCGAGAGTCATCGTTTTCGTCGCTGTGCCCCTCTCGCACCTACAAGGGACGCCCCATGAGGGCGAGAGAGACAGAGCGACGAAAACGACTCTCGGAATCAGTCTGCTGGCGCGTCGTGGCGCGGCGCGTCGATGGTGCCGATGGTTCTAATCCCGGAAAAGTACCGAACTGCTATTTTTAGACACCGCCACTGGGACGGCGCGGCGCGCCTCCGGCACCGGCCAGGAATACGCACTGCTTGCGCCGGGCCGCGCATTCGGCGCGCCTGTCGTTCAAACTACCCGCGCCTCGTCGCGTCGAATGGCGTGGCACGGCGTGGCACGGCGTGGCGTGGTGTGGCGTGGCGTGGCGACGCGTGGCGCGCACGCGTGCACCTGACTGGATAAACGAGCCGCGTGCACGTGCCCGCCGCACCGCCGCACCGCGGCACGCCGACGTGCGCATGAGCGGCGCATGGCGGCGCAGCGGGCCTGGCCACACCTCCGTTGCTCCCAAATTAGGAAACAAGAATAAATAATAAAAGCAGGAAAAGAAAAAGTGCCTTCCGCCAGTGGTGCGCGGTGCGGCGCGGTGCGGCGCGGTGCGCGCAAACTTTGGCGCGGGCCCCGGCGGCGCGCCGCTCTGTCTCTCTCGCGCTCACGGGGCGTACCGCACGATTGCGAGAGAGACAGAGCGACGAGGCGGCTGCAGCGGCCCAGACGGACGGCCCGGATTTCCAGTGACTGAACGGATGGACTCGCGAATTGCGACGCAGTACGCGGTCTTCAGTCTTAGCACACCGCCGGGCCTCGCGGCTCGAGGAGTGGAGAGCAGCGCCGTGAAGAGCAAACGGCGTCTTTAAGTTTGGCGCGGTCTCCCATGCGTGCGCGAGTATGCATCCTGGCGGTAACCAGCACTCGCCCTGTCTCTCTCGCACCGGGATGGGACTCCCCATGCGTGCGAGAGAGACAGAGCGAGACCACCGGTGGTGCTCCTACAGGACATTCTTCCTCCATGTGAACCCCTTCCACCCGCGATGCTCCCTCGTGACGGGGCTTGTCGTTCTGTCTCTCTCGCACTCATGGGGCGTCCCGTGAGGGTGCGAGAGAGACAGAGCGACGAGCTCGGCGTCGCTGACCAGGCCTCGCATGCATGACAGCATCGCGCCACTGGAAGGAAAGGGGCCGTCGTGTCGAGCGATTCAGGAGATCGGTTAGTCGCTCTGTCTCTCTCGCACCCTTACGGAGAGCCCCATGAGAGCGAGAGAGACAGAGACGACTCTTCTGAGTATCGCTCGG